GTTGGCCGAATCAGCGACATTCTGAACAAATTTTGTTAAAATGGGCAAACATTGAGAAAATATGCTGGAAATTTGAAACAGCTTGTCCACATGTTTTTATTTTTTATTCAACAAATGTAAATATCTTACAGATCCTGATAAATTCTCCAAATAAGTAACATAATATTTTAACTGTTTTTACATTTTATAGTGTGTCGGTGCAGATAAAATCTCAGGATCTTTGATGTAACTTTGCTCGTAGATGACCAGGGTACCTCATTGAACATCAGTAATCACTTGCCGAATTTCGGAAGAAATTCTGAAGCAATTATTGCATGCAAGAGGATAATCGTATCGTCTTATTTGGTTTACAATTTTTGGAACACATGTGGCGCATGCAAACCAGTGCCAGCAAGGAAGGGAAACATACGTTGCAACTCGGGCAGCTTTGCAATATAAACATCGATGAAGATCCACCGGTCGCACTGCAAACACGTTGAAAGTAATTAATTTTTCAGTCGACATTATCGTTTTTGAAAGTGGACTACATGCACACACATAGAACCATATTTTCTCCTTCAATCTGGATTGGTTCGTCCAATACAAATAAACGAGGAATATTGAAGCGGTGGACTGAAAAAAAGAAACAATGTTTTTTTATCCAAAAACGGTTTTAGCCAATAACGTAATGCAAAGCAATTATTCCATAGTTATAGTAACCTATATCATCAAATGTTAGGACATTGCGAAAAATGTCCAAATCTTGGCAACACGAAATGAGATACTTCCTTCCGATGGCTTTCAGGACATGACTTATCGCTGTTAGGAATTTTAGATTGTCCAGAAGATCATGATCGTACATTTCCCATGCTCTGGAGATGATATCGGACTGTAGATTCGACTGGAAAGTTGGACTTGTAACGCTTAGCCCCTCATTAAGTGCCAATACTTGATTTTGTGTCAGTTGCTGGAGCTGGCGTAATTTCTCTGTAGGTAAAAGAAGATTTACTTAAGTTAATTAATTATTTTTGTATAAAGAACGTGAGCAGTTCTACGCCACAACGTAGGATCACTATACAAAAGTAATACTGTCTCGAGAAACGATGAACCCATTTCACGCAGTCACACAAAATGTGTTTTTGTTTTGTCATTTCTTGTTTCACCTCGATATGAAGATTATAGAACTTTGTTTTATCAATTTTCGGAATACGAACCATCGACTACTGTGATAATTTTGAGGAAAAATATATAAAGCTTCATAGGCTATAGGTATGCAAAATAATAATAATTTAAAAAAACAATAATAATAATAATAAATTGACCCGCCTGTGAACTGCCATATGGATGGATGAACGCTCATCCGTACTCCTAGAACTCTATGATAGGCTTCAATTGCGTTGTTTGTTCGGTTATTGTAGGGGTAAACGGAAAATTTTCCTGGACCCACCCTTTGAATCCACCATCGTCGATAGTATGTTATTAATTTGGAAAAATAACATCTTATGTCTTCGTCCGTATTTATTAAAAGTGCTTCGAAAGCCCGTGTGATTTCTGTGGCCGGAAGTAGGGCAAGACCCATGATTTTTCGAAAGAATAATACACCTCGTGGCCAATTTTGCAGTTTTCTGAATTCTCTTCTCCCCATACATTTATTCATGTACTTTGTTAAGCACTGGAAACCCCAGATTAAAGTATTATTAAATTCTTCGTATTATTTGATATATATTCATATCACTGCATATAGATAATGTATAGCTGTTTTTTTAATGGAAGCTTCGTAATCAGCCGTTTTATACTTTCTAATTTTATTTAGAAATAATATAGAATGTTATGTAACTTAAAAATATATTCTCAGACTATGTGTATATGATCTTGAAATTAGCTGAATAGGCAGATATCCATTGAAAACATTGTGGAATTTAAAATTTCCACTTTTGATTGGTTCCAGGACAAGAAAATTAGATGTGGTATAGTGATTAATTCCATACAAATAAAAATTTAAAAGTGAGTATAATGGGATGAAAACTATGAAAGATATTGATTCTGCAAATCTAGCTTCAAAACGGCTGCATTACACACAAAACAATGAGTCAAATTATAATTTTTCGGAATCTCTTCGTAACGTTTTTTAATTCAGTTCTCCCTTCAAATCGGTAAATTGTATCTGTCCTGAAAGCACAAAAGTTCATCAAGCTATATCGCACAGTTCAAAAGCGCCATTGGAAATATGAAAAGAGTCGCATTTATAAACCAACATAACTTCTTCGTAGCTATTTGAATTTTCCGGTACAAAACTTCTTTTTAATATATGTGCAATTTTGCAATTATGCAAACTCCTTTAAATATATATGCTTTTCTCTATGAAAATACATAACCACGGATGTTAACAAAAGAAATTGTACGCGATCGACGG